ATATTTCATCACATTTTGTGATGTCAAAACTATAAGTCTTTTTTGGGAACCTATCGTTGGTCCTTTCTGGACCAATGGGATTTTTCCCATTTGAGGGGACTAACTGTTTACAAGAGTATGGTGGCCCTTGTTTTAGTTCTGCTAAATCGACTTCTCCTTCTTCGACAGCTAAAGTATCGTCGAAGGATTCTAGATCTTCGTCATCCATCTCAACGTACGCTATTCTTTCTCTCTTGTGAGTTTTCGTTGCCTTAGCTTTTTCAGCTTTGAGGCGTTCGACCTGTCGAACTCTATCGGCCAGTTGGGCCATGTCTCTTAGGTACTGGGTGTCTAGCTTCTTCCTAATGGAATAATCTAGACCGCCTGCGGCTATTTCGACCAACTCATGTTCTGGCACTTGTGTAAAACATCTCGCCTTGAGCAACCTAAACCTATTCAGATATTCGTCTATAGGTTCAGTGAAACGTCTCTTCACACTGGCCAGTTCTTTTAGGCTTATCTTGGTTTGCCCCATGTAGAATTGTTCATGGAACAATCTTTCCAACTGGGTCCAATGATGGATCGAATTGGGGGGGAGAGTTGTGAACCAAGTAAAAGCGTTCTTGGTTAAAGAACTTGGGAAGTACTTGATCCTTAGGTTTTCGTTATTCGAAATGTCTCCTGCTTCGATCAAATACCTCGCCACATGTTCGACAGTAGATTCTGTCGTGTCCCCAGAGAACTTAGTAAATTTTGGGACTTTGCTTCTAGGAGGTAAGTCCGTTTGTAACACATATTCTGACAATGGAGATGTAAAGTTGGGCCTTCGAAAGCCCATGTTCATCCCATTCTGAGTCATGATTCTTTCGATCATGGTTGCCAGATTGTTTTCCAAACCCATGTTTTGGTATTGGATATGCTGAACCACTTCGTCAGCATTTTGGTTTCTGTTAACTAACCTTACCTCTGGGGTTATTACCCTAGGTTCCTCGACAGGTTGTTCCAATCGTGCCCTAAGGTTTTCTTCGACAGGCTGTTGAGCCTGGTTAATGGTGGTTTCCTCCTCTACAAATATCCCCTGATTTCCCCTTATTTGCGCCCTTCGGGGCTGTCGAATAGGTGGGGGTACTCCAAAGAAGTCAGCCAAACGCGTCATTTGCGCTGTAACTTGCTGATTCGACTGAGTAGTGTTTTGTATTAGAGGATTTAGCACTGTACTCAAAGTTTGTGCCAACATTTGCACCATATCATGGTTGCTTTCGTCCATCTGTTGCCTCAAGACTGCTGTCGAGGCATTTGTAAGGCCATGGGCTACTTGGGACGTTCCTCCTAAGAGTTGGGTCCTATTTCTATTCCCCATGCCTACTCCAGAGCCTTGGAGTGGCGAAGAGGCACTCACGAAAGGGTCTGAAAAAGTGGACGCAGCATTCGTCAGGCTTGCCACTTCAGAAGTTGGCATACCATAGAATGGAATAAATCCTGGGGGAACCACAGGCCTTGTGCCTAAATTTCCCCTTGGTGGGGGAGTTCCCAAAGGTATTCTGGGGCCTGTTAAGGAAGTTATTGGCCCCGTGGTTGTGACCGACACTGCTGGTGTCGAACCAACGTTTTTCGCTTCACTTACGGTCATACTAACCGTTGCTCCCACACTCGTTTGTGGGATTTCGTTATTGTTTGGCGGATTCGCCATCTCTTCCCTCCTTCTGGCAGTATTGTTATCGTTAGTGTATATTCTACCACTCCTCAATAACATACAACTCGAAAAGATGAGATTATTTTCAACAATCAACACACAGTCCCACCGGGTGTGCCAATTTGTTTACCTTGGGTTTTGGTAAACAACCGCTGATCCTCCAAATGGTTACTTATTTGGTTACTCGCAGGATCGATCAGATTGATCCTATGGACATAGGTTGATTTTGAAGTTTGATTAAGGTGGATAAGGCTTTAAATAAAAGGTTTCAAGTAAATTGCATAAAGGAAAGACTTGGTAAAATAAACATGGCTTTAAAGTAAAGGTTCGACAGGAATTTAAAGGAGAAAAGCAAGTAAAATGCTGGAAAAGTAAATGACTTTAATTGATAAAATTGGTGTTTCACACATACATTTCTCAACAATTCTTTCTCACACACTGGGTACTCGAATCTAAATGAGTGACTATGTATAGAATTGTGAACACACGCGAGAAACTACATGTCTACTCCTATTTATACTAAAACATTCCAAGTAACCGTCGGGCAGTTACACTGCTTCGAGATCGATCCACTTGGCACGTTCTCCATGCTTGACGCTCCAGATCCTTGCACGTTTGCACGTGGTAACTGCTGGAAACCGTTTTCCCTCCAAACGCTTGAATTTCAAACTGCTCCACTCTGGACCATCGAACACGTTCGTCAAGAGACATCTTCAACGAGAAACTCCTTCGACGTCGAAGGCACTCAGCCTTCTTCCTTGGAAGAAATCTTCTAAGTATTTTGCCATCTTTCGACGGGCACTTCGACAGACTTAGCCAGTCGAAAGCATCTTTCAGCTTTTAATGGCTGACATCAATCAAAACAAAGGTGTCGAATTTAGGAGCCAACAACACCCCATATATCAGGGGTGAAAATAGGTATTAACCCTTAAAAATATGCAAAATTAATACAATATTAGTATGAGTTTGTTTATTAAATAGCATTGTTGAATTAAAATGTAAATTAAAAAATATTAAAAATAATGAAAAATATATTCTCAACAAAAAGATTAATATGATTTTTGTTATATGATTCGAGGTACTAATTATGTTTATTGGTGTGAATATAAATTTTATCTATAAAATATCTTTTTTTTTTTTTTAACAAAAAGTTAATTTTTTTAATAAAGATAATTTATTAAATAAAAAGAAAAAATAAAAAGAATGAGAAAACGTAAAAAACTAACTAATCATAAAATTAGCAAAAATGATAGGGACGTGGCCAATCAATTTCTAAAAAAAAACTTTTAAAAGCACAAATAAAAAAGTGAATCTTAATAGATGTTATAATTAAAAAAAAACCTACATTAATTAATACATCTGCACATGGATTTTCTTCTAAAAATATGAGATATTTTGAATCTAAATAAATATATTGTGTGTAAAGTATTCTTCTATTTAATTAAAAGATATTAATAGACAATATTGAAATTAGAAAATATATGAATGGTCTGCATCAAGTAAATTTCAAGCCAAATATTTCTCCAATTCTTCATGGTATTAGCATATTTGATAACAAACACGATTTCGTGCAATTCAACTTGAAAGGAGATGCAAACTCCATCCGTAACTGAGAAATCTTCCAAGAATATTCTTAAATTACCCCTAAATATGTCATTAAAAGTTGATATTCTAGGAGTTCCTCTTGAAGATCCATACGTGTTACACTTAATCCAATTTATGACTAGGAAAACACCAATTAACTTGTATAATTCTAGTTGCGAGAGGATATCAATATTTAATGTTAGAGCATTTAATATCTGTAAACTCATGAATTGAAGAGTACATATATCCCTTGAAAGAAGTAGATGACATATGGACTAATGGTTTAACATGAAGAATATTTTCATCAAAGTCAATGTTACCATTTTTAAATCTGATATCATTTCTTGTCTAGCAAGTTTTCTAAATAATTATTATGATGAGAGTTATGATCAAATTCTGAATTTGAGATCTCCAACTTCTACCTGCAAATTTTAATAAACTTTTGTAAATAGTTCTATCAATGTTCATACTAAACCGTCTCTATCCAATTTCAGAAAAGTAAAGTGTATTTACATCTAAGAAATAAATAGTATATAGTTTATACATCATGATGTAGATGCGTTCCCCTTTCAAATCATATTTTATTCTTTTTAAAAATTAATTTATATTAATATTTTTGGAAAAAATACCTTTCTTGACATCTGTTAATGGAAAAATATTATTATTAATTTCTTTTAATTTTTCTTAAAATCTTATTTAATTAACTAAAAAGCAATGTTTTTTAAAGTTGTTTATGTTTATCTATGTTTTAATATGTATAAATTAATCTTTAAATTACAATACAAAGATGCTTCTTGGTAAACCTCTGGCATGGTTAAAATTTGAGTTTTGAGAGTGTTTTTCGCTTAAGATATCCATGTTTTGGATCAAATTTATAAAAGGTTTTGTTCTATCTTTAAACGGGCTCTACAAATAGATAGTGAGATTGGTTCGTTGAATTAATAAAATAAAATAAAAGATACCACTTAGAAATATAATAAAATTAAATATATAGTTTCTATAACACGCATCTCTAAGTGCAAATAATTTTTGTGTTGAGAAATTTATATAAATGGTTGTTCTAACTTTAAACACGACCTCCACAAATGAATGAAATAAATATTTTAAAATTAATTAAAAGAATGTCACTTGATAACATGATAATTTAATAAAATAAAATATATATACACCAGAATTAATGACCTTAAATTAATTAGTCCCACGATCAATACAAAGCTTTAAAAGAATGTCATTTGATAATATATTATAATAAAATAAAATATATATACACCTTCCAGTTAATATTATAACCAAAGATTAAATCTTTATATTCATCAAATAATTTATATATGTAGTTTAGATATAGATCATATACATTAATTATTTTATAAATTTAGAAGAAATTTTTTACTTATAATAATGATCAAAATAATATTTCCTATAATACATACATCTTATCAAATTGAAATGGTATTTTATTGTATTAATTCTTAAAATATTTTTAATAATATATAGGATGATGTGTGATCCATTGAATATATGTGTAAACCTAATGCTTTAACTTGTGATAATATTTTATGTGAAAAATTGGATTTAAATTGATATCACCACATTTTTCCTTCTTTATGAAAAAAAGTAAAAAAATAATTATTAAAAATTTATTAAAATCACCTTTATTTTATCTTTATTCTCTTATAAATATCAACACATGGCTAACCATCATGCTCAACAAAACATTTGTGTTCTTCGTAATTATTTCTGAAGAATGACAAAGGTTGAGAAAAAATTGTGAAAGAAGTTAATTTATTTTTTTAGTCATTTTTCCTTTTAATTTTCTATATATTTCTTTGAATAAATAGTGTGTTTTTCAATTCGACTCTCTTTCTTATTTTTCATATATATGATTCTTTCATGTTTATTTTTTCTAGAGCTTACGGTTCAAATATTTAGTTTGTGTTTGTATTTTAAAATAAGATCAGAATTATTCTAGTAGTTACTTAAAATTTGTATTATATCAAACATTAGCATTTTTAACCTAGTGGTTAAATTTTACTTTTAATTTGCAGGTCTATCTATGTTTTTTTGAGTATTCTAAAATTCAGAAAAAGCATATATTTTAAATTTTTTTTTAATATTAAGACAAGAATATTCAGATCTACAATTGTGTTTAAATCCATCTCATAGAGAGTTTATTTTTAACTTTTAGTGCTTTATTAAGTGAATGTTTTTGTTGTAAATTTTATGGTTGATTTCTTTAATAGTCTAAATATTTTCTTGAAATGGAACTGCAGAAGATGAAAGCAACATGTGCTAAGAGGCCAGTTGTTGATTTGAAACATGCTTCGAAATATATTTCCAAAGTGGATGTAAGTTATATAATGTATTTCTTTCAAACATGTATGTTTTCAATATAAAATTATTTATTTGACTTATTTTTATATTTGATTATTCTAATATGTGACATAGAATCGATTTCGACGTCCTCGTCATCGCCATGTTTATACAAAGTTTTTAGAGACACTGATAATGTTTAAGAATAAAGAAAAAACTGTTGATGATGTTTGCAAAGAGGTATATGTTGATTTGTTTATGAAGTAAAATTCAGACAATTTGAAACTCCAATTTTGAACTAGAATTTAAAATCATACAATGTGATTTTATTTTCTCTTAATTTTATCTTGTTTGACACTCATTTGAATTATAATTGAATTTCTTCAGGTTTATTTACTTTTTGAAGGCCATGATGATCTCATTGATGGGTTTAATGATTTTCTTCCATAGCATGGCAAGAGATATGTATGAGCTATTAAAGACTAATAATGTGGCAATTGTGCTAATCTAGAACATCAATTGTGAGATGATCTATAGTTTTTAGATACAGTTTTAATGTTTTTAATTTGCAAGATTGAATAAGAATTTGTCTGGATGAGATTTAAATATATCTTATTGTGATTGATAGTTTTGATTTTTATATAATTTATTCGTTTATCATTAGTTACATTTTATATGAAGGATGATGGTCTGTGCTAATTTAAATGAATGTGTTAAGTCATTAATTGTTAGATTGGTTTGCATTCACAAAAATATTAAAATTAAGATGTGGGACCTTCTACTTATGTCAATCATCAAATATAATTATTTAAATTGAAACAAGAGAGTTCAATCCCTGATTAACAAACTAAATTTGAGTAATTGAGAAGACAAGTGATAGAAGTATCCCAATAAACTATTCTTAGTTGTTTTATATTTAGCTATTCAAACACACGTTTCCATCATCTCATGCAATTGGTTTGGCAAAGCTCATTGAAGCCAAATTGAAAGATGTTAAATTAAAGTTTCAAAAACATTTCTCTAACTCATTCAACCGCACAAATACCACCTTTCTCTAAACTCATTTATAGTGTGCTTTTTGTTGATTTAAAATAACATGGGAAAGATGTGAAAGATATATGTAACTCAAAATAAGTCTTAGAGGTTTATTCTACCAATACTTATTTTCAACTATCACCCCAAGTTTTAGTTAGTCATTTTTCTCTCTAAACACTAACTTTAGGGACTGGTTAGTGGATTTCTTGTGATGCGTTACAATTCATTCATCAATAACCTTTAAAAGTGGTCCTAAATCTCGTTCCACTTACACAACTGTCATACTTCAATTTTGATCGAGTTTTAATAATATCTTATTTTAATGAGCGTTTTATTTTGAATATGTAAGTTAACTCAGTTAGTAGTCAAGTAGGAACGTCAAGTGTAGAGTCGCGGGTTCGAACTCCATTATATTTTTTTGTTTACTTTTTTGCTTTTTATTATTAAAAAGTCAAAAAGTCAAATGTTGACTTTAGTTTTGAATTTTTAAACATTATTTTTTGTTTTTTTATTTATAGGCTTTTTTAAAAAATTATTTAATTCATTGTTTTTATGCACAAAATAACCAAAAATCATAAAAATAATATAAAGGTAGTTTTTTATTTAACTTTTTGTCCAAGTCAATTTCTTTAAACTTTTTTATTTGATTTTTTCTATTTCTAGCACAACCATAATCATCTTCATTAAACCTTCAACAACATGTAAAACCAATCTCTAAATCAAAAACCAAACTCAACAAAATCTATTCACAAATTCAAACTAGAAAACTCATAAACAACCATAATATCAATCCTACCTCAAATCAATAACAACCATACCTCTCAAGCACAAAATAGCAACACCCTCATTCATCAAATTAACAACGGTAACAAGAAATACAAATGAGCAAAATTTTGGAAAGTAGAGCAACCCCTCATACAAGCATCACACGCCACCAACTCTTCATAGAAGAATCGCTCACATAAATTGCATGCCCCACACATTTGCTACATCTGACCCCTAAAGATCGACGACGTCACTACCAGAAGTCAAAATTAGGAAGCTACCACCCTCCGCAACAGTCGCACCAGACTCCTCAGCACCTTCCTGCAATCAGAATCACACAATTTCCCTCACCACATCCTTTGGCGACGCTCCAGTAAACACCGTTGTCGCTACTTCTCATCAGTCCTATCACACTGCATCATTTCTTCGCTGAGAACACCATTTTCACTGGAGCTCCGAGGGGTATGTCTACCCCCTCTTGGTCTTATGTTTCTTGTGATTTTGAAAACATGTTTTGATTTGGTAATGTTTACTACAAATAACAGTTTCACCTAAGATGCAAAATGCATTTAGCCTCGACTATATAGGCGAGATAACAAAAGGCATCATGAAAAGTTTCCACTGTACCCCTCAGTTAAAATACCTAGGGAACATATTTATGCACATGGGTTCAAACTCCAACTTTTATACTTTTAATATTTTCAAAACTAACGCATCAATACCTCTCGGTTTATCAATAGGACTGAAGGGTAAGATTGATTTTTTATTATAAACTTGTTACAAACTAAAGAATATTAATAAATTAATTATTTATCCAGAATATTACATTGTTTAAACATAATATTTATGTAAATGTATATAACAAATTTTGAATCTGATTCATCGTCATCCGAAATTTTAAGAAAATATTTGATTATCTTTTATAAATAAAAAGTCATGATTTTAGGGTGTTACACATAACACAAATAGTTAGTGGTTAGTATCAGAATATGCATAAAACTACTAACACAAAAGCTAACTCCAAAAGGGCCAGATGTCCTACCCGATGCTCAAGCATGTGAACACATCATTTTTACTTCAAAATCAATAATAAACAAATGCAAGTGAGCACATCATTAGTACTTAAAAATAGTACTAAATAGTTACCTATTACCTGTTAGATAGTCTCACTAACAAAGAGATCACACCACACCACTACTCTCCCCTTTTACCATAATTTAGAAAAGGGTTAACACTTCAAAATAACAACTAGAGGTCAATCATGCAAAGATTTGTATGTTAGAACATACACAATCAGATCATGAGTAGAACCACTAAAACATCATCAAATATGCACAAGAAATAGATTAGTTATTGTACAAAATTATTAAGAGGCTATGGAGCCTTTATAGAATAAAAATTGCCCAATAAATAGAGCTGAAAAAAACTGCAACCTATTCTTCAATTTACATGTAGAAGGCTCCACACTCAAATATATTCATATCAAAAACCAATTAAATTTGTTCTCATTTGTCTCAGAATCAATAGAATCACTTGATTCTATTATCTCTACAACAACAAATTATATCTTCCTTATCTTTTCAGAATTCAAATTTGTGATCATAATATTCTAATTTCCAGATTTTTCACCAGAAGGTTATACTATGGTGATGTTATTCTTAACATGTACAACTTCCCACCAGAAGGTTATAAGGTTATACTATGGCCTTATTTAATCAAAATTCCAACATATCTTCAACATCTTTAGGAACCTTAATTTCTTTGACAGGAACGTTCCCACTTGATCTTTTAGACGAATCTTCATAATGTTGATTCATGATGTGAGGATAAGCTTGAAGGACCAAAGAGAGATATGTAATCTAAGAGCAGGAAAAGGCAAGATGTCTGTTTTTCTTGCTTGTAACGACAACCCAGTTATTCAACATTTGAGATAACAAAATAATCCTCCTTATTTTTCGTGCCAAAGTGGTTTTAGGGGGGATAAATGCATTTTATCTTTTGGCACAACTCCATAGAATTGATTGCTATAAACCCTTACAAATGTAAATACCAAGGGCACACCTCTGATTTTCAACATGATTTGCATCCAAAAGTTTAGAGAAAATTTCCTAGACTAATGTCAAGACATCTTCTCCCACACTATACTCCTTCAACATTTGCTTTATCCACATTAATTTCCAATCACTTCTCCCTACAGTAATGTATTCAGCTTCATCAGAAGATAAGGTCAAACATATTTGTTCCTTGCTGATTATGATGAGGTTCTTCTTGTCTGTCACACAAACTTTCTCCAATATTTGTACAACTTCTTCAAATATCAAAACCTCTTTGGACAACTTCCTTTCAAGGCCTATTCTCTTGTGACACAACCACTTCCTCTTCATAATTTCCTCATAATAGAGAGATATTTTGAGTGTGAGAATCTCTTTGCTATCCACCATTTTATATATGATGAGCACTATGTCCAAGGCATTTGTAATTGATTTAAGAATTCTAGTTTCTTCACGTCTACCAATTACAACTTGCTCGTCAATCCTCTGAGTTGGGAACTCAGTTTCCACAATGTTACTCAAGATATCTTGGAGCACTTAGTTACTCCACAAGAGTTGAGTGCCACTTCTTTCAATAATTAAACCTTGAGAATTATTGATGCAGTCTTTTATTTGCTAGACTCGAATATCAAGAATGTGATAAAATTCCCTCACATAACTCATCTTAAATCTAAACTTCATTTGATGGACAAAATGCTCCACCATCGAGTCTGACATTCATCCATCACAACTAATATCCTCCACCACCTGCTCACTTTCTTTAATTGTCAGAGATTCCCTTAGAGTCTTACTTTTAGTAGATATCCACTTCGAGTACTTACTCTTCAGCACACCTTTGTAGGGATCAACATCTTTCAGTAGTTTGTTCGATAACTTGTTCAAACCTAAAATGAACTCCAATGTTAACAGGGGTAGATCCATCATAAGCACAAACACCATTATCAATGTTGTCATTCACCTTCACCACGTGATCCTTTTCATGAGTACTCTTGTCATGGGACTTGGTTGATTTCTTCATGATTCTTTTCATTATGTTGGCACAAAGAAGATCTTTAGTTTCCATATTCAAGTACCTATTGAAAGAGACACTTTTCACTTCCATCTTCATAATACATAATAGTATTTAAACCCATTTGATGACTTCAATATGGGCAATAAGATCATAGAAACTTTCATCTTCATCAGCATATATCATAGAGGTTCTTAATTGTGTGTTCTTTGAAATCAATCTATTCTTCTTGCCATTAGTAGTATAAATTATTTCATTCACACCTTTACCAAGTGTCTTCACATCTTCTAATGCATGATCATCATTAGCTATAGTTGTATCAACCTCAACATCTTCATGAAAATCATCATTCTCCTTATGCATTTGAGGCTTTGCCAACATATCGTATAAAATGTCTGCCACATCCTTATCATCATCAGGATTAATCAAATTTGTTTCCTGGGAATCTTCACCAGGAGATATTAGATTTTCATGAATATTTCTCATAGGTACAAATCTGAGTGGAACATTACTCATATTTCCTCCTACAGCTGAGTTATACATATTTTTTCCATACTTCAATACACCAATTTCAATTTCACCAAACAACCCATCATGTTTTTAGTTAATTACACCCCGAAACTTATGAGAAGACAATATTCCATAACCACTATTCTTCTCAAGCTTCTCCTTCTGAACCTCTGTAGGTTGTTCAAAATTGTGAGTATCTCCATCCTTACCATTAGCCTTCCCTTTAATGACACAATGCTCATGCGATGATTCAGAATCATGAGTAAGATGTTGAGACATCTTGTTTGGTCTTTCCTTTTTCTGAGAATTCTCATTATCAATATTGAGACCTTGTAAACCTCTTATGTCTTTCTCAAATATGATCTTCTTCATGGGAACTTTTTTACCCTTGTTGGTATCACCCCCTTTGGATTTGTAGAAGTTCATATTCATCCTTTGATCACGCAGATGGTTTATATTGTTCACATTGGTCATTGAGTTTTTCCTAAGTAGTACCTCGTCTTGACCAGGATTGATTAAATTCCTTAATCCCTTGATTATTCCCTTTTTGTATATCCATAAGTGATAAAGTATTGATCTTCACTTCAGTTTCTTGTTCCTACTTTGAGGAGGTGACACGTGTTGTACATGATGCTGTGACATGGGATCAAACCTCATAATCTCAGAATTCTTTTCAAGTAGAACAACCTTCTTTGAGGGAATATTTATCTCTTTTGTGCTCATTCCAAAACTTATTCTCTTCATATTTCTGATTTCTCCAAACTCCAATGTGCCTCTTCTTGACACAAAGGGAGGAATTAACTACAATCCTGTTCTTACACGCCGCCAGCTTGGATATCTGATGAGAGACAAGCCAAGTAACATTCATTTGAGTGGTTTCTTTCTCCAAGAAGGAAAATATCATAAAGCAGCTAAGGACGAGATTGAAAATACTTAGTTCCATATTCATAGGAAGGGAAGAAAAGATCTGGGACCAGGAGGAGCTGTTTCCTTAAAGCCTCATCTCTGGTGGGTACAAACGAGGGAAATCCAGTTGAAGATGCCTTATTCTCGTGAAGAACCTTTCGCTGAAATGTTTACGATGATGACTCCTCCCCTTTTAGATAATAAGGAAGAAATTCAACTTGCCTTGGTCAAAATGCAACAAGAGAGAGAAGCATTCCAAAAGGATACAACCCTGCTGCTCAAGTTACTACACTTGTTCAACTTGTTGCTTTACTGCACCTCCGGTGGTGAATGTTGTTCCTTTTATTAAGGATGAGGTTTATAATGCTGCTCCTCTACCAAGTGAAAGTTTGGGCTTCTATGACATAATGGATGACTTTCAAGATCAATGAAATGAAATGCAAAAAGAAGTGAAAGCCCTCAGAGGGAAAGAGTTATTCAGACAGAATGTCAGTGACCTCTGCTTAGTTCCTAATGTAAAAGTGCCAACAACGTTTAAAAGTACCAGAATTTGAGAAGTACAAGAGCAATTATTGCCCCCCGCGACCACCTGGTGATGTATATCAGAAGGATGTCCATTCATACTGATGATCAACGCTTCCTTATTCATTTCTTCTAGGATAGTTTGACTGGCGCTGCCTTGAAATGGTATATGGGATTGGACAGTAGCAACATCCATACATTCAATGACTTGGGTGAAGCTTTTGTGAAACAATACAAGTACAACATGTTTATGGAACGTGACTGTGACCATCTGAGAGCAATGGATCAAAAGGATAAGGAATCATTTAAAGAGTATACACGGAGTTAGCACGAGGTTACTGCCCAAGTGGTACCCCCGATGGGTGAGCAAGAAATGACTAAGGTTTTCCTGAAAACCCTCAGTTTATTTTATCATGAAAGAATGGTGGAAAGTGCACCAAGTGATTTCACTAAGATGGTAAGTATGGGTGTCCCTTTGGAAGAAGCTGTCAGAGAAGGACGTTTGTCAAAAGATGAAGGTGCCAATGCAACCAAGAAACTGTCATATGGATTCTCTAGAAAGAAAGAAGGAGAGACAAATGTTTTTATTCAAGAGAGAAGAAGTAGACCTCTGAGAAGACGTCATCAGCATCTATAATAGGTTGCTTCAGTAACTCCAGTTGTCAATGCAGCTCAGACTATTGTTGAGTATCAAAAAGCACCTCCTCAAGGTAATCAAGAGCAAAGTCAAAAAAGAGAAGCTTTTGATCCTATTCTAATGAGTTATACAGAAATTTTACCGGCCTTAATTCAGAAGAACCTGGTGCATACTAGGTCTTCTTCTACTATACCTGCAACTTTGCCATGATATTATAAAGCTGGTCAGGCTTGTGCTTTTCATCAAGGAACCCCTGGGCGCAGTATTGAAAATTGTTATCCGTTGAAAGCTGAGGTGCAGAAAATGGTAAGATCTGGTCTCTTGTCTTTTAAAGATGTAGGTCCCAATGTGAAATCTAATCTTCTACCCAAGCATGGAGGTGGAGGTGTTGTGAATATGGTTTCTGGTTGTCTTGGGGATTTTAGGATTTATGATATAAATTTGGTAAGAGGTGATTTGGTGAAGATGCATGCTGACCTCTGTGAGTTTAGCTATTATAGACATGACCAAGCAGCTTGTAGTGTCTGCATTGAAGATATTTGTGCATGTGATAAGGTGAGAAGGGACCTCCAAGAGATGATAGATGAAGGCCTTCTCCATATTATTAAACCCATGGCTTAATGTGAGGAGGAAGTGAACATGGTTTATGGATGTCATGGTGAATTTAGGATTTATGATGTAAACTATATGGATGATGATTTGGTATAGTTGCACGCCACAATTTGTTATATGAATGGTCAGGAAATACATAATTATGGTTCTTATCGGATCTGTTGTAGGGATTCTCGTGGGTGTTCTATTGTGAAGAGGGGTATCCAAAGTTTGTTAGATGAAGGTATCATTCAGGTCACAAGAAACATAGATGATTATAATAGAGTTAGTATGGTTGAAGACTATTTTGTAGGATCCATGTCTAACGATGAATATGCTTCTGCTTGTGATTTATTTTCTTCTGATGAGGGTGACTTTGCTGATAATGATTCTATGACTCCTGAGTATGCTGAAGAGGTAGGAGTGAATGTCATTATACCATATTTTGACATTCCCGCTCTTGTAGAGATTACATACTGCAGAAAACATGTTGTAGCTCCAGTGGTTATCTTCCTACCTGGTCCTATCCCATATGAATCAAATAAAGTTTCACCTTATAAGTACCATGCAACTATCCTAGAAGATGGTGTGGAAATTCCAATCTAACCTTTGTCCCATGTTGAGAATATTGCTGAGGCCAGTCGAGTGACCTATAGTGGTCGTGTCTTTGCTCCTACCTTCCAAGGAGTTATTGATCCTGACAAAATTTTTTTGAGAACAATGCTGAACCTTAGAAGGTGGTAGGAAAATCTAGTGGCACTTCCCTGGAGAAACATGTTGATGACCTATTAAAAATCATTAAGATGAGTGATTTTAAGATTATGGATCAATTGTAGCAGACACCATCCAAAATCTCCATTCTAGCTTTATTAATGAACTCCTCTGCTCATCGGGAATCTCTGATGAGAGTGTTGGATCAAAATTTTGTTGAAAGAGACGCATCTCTTGATCAGTTAATGATGTTATGGGAAATATTACGTCTTGTAACAATCTGAGCTTTTGTGATGATGAACTACCTAATGAGGGGAGAAACCATAACATGGCTCTGCATATATCTATGAATTGCAAGAATGATTCTTTATCCAATGTGTTGATAGACAATGGTGTTGAAGCAGATACATTAATTGGATAAAGCAATAAAGCGCGCGGGAAATTGAATCGAATACGAATTAGGGTTTTGACCCCTTTTTTAAAAGAAAATGTTTTTTGGTTGTTTTTATTTAAGAAAAGAAATTAAGTCCTAAATTAAATACTAAATTAGTTATTAAATAAATTAAAGAAAAAAATAATTAATGACATATTTTTGGGTTTTAGTTATTTTAAGAAAGAAATTAAAATAAATAAGTTAGAATTAAAACCTAATGGTTGCCTCGAAATGGTTGCCTCGGATATTGTCGCCTCAAACAAATGATCTAAGACATTAGGGTTACCGCTAAGGCGTCCTAACATTGCTTTAGTGACTGCATGTCCCTCATTCGAATTGACCCTCAAACTCCAACGACGATGCTACCTACTCATTAATAGTGGGATATAATTGTCTAAAGGAAATTAGCATAGAACGATTCCTTTTTCGAGTAGGTAGATAGTTCTTAGATACTTGCTCATCCAAAATAAAACAAAATTTTCACACTTACACTTCTTTTCAAACAAAGTTTTCAAAAACACTTCATTACACTCTTGAGGACAGAAGCAAGAGTTAAATCGAAGTTAAAACAAATTTTTTTTCAAACCCACAAACACAAAGAAAGCAATTTTGAAAACAATGAGCAAGTACCTAAGAGCCCGTAGATAACTACGGACAGAAAGGGTGCTAATACCTTCCCTTTCTATAATCTACCCCCCGTACTCAGAAATATCTCGAAAAAGGAATTTTTCTGTGCTTTTTTCCTTTCCTTGTTGGATAAAATAAAATTCGGTGGCGATTCTTGCTTACCGCGACATTTTGCAAAAAACAAATGCAAAACGCAAACCAGCATTCCAAAAAACAGTCAGTTCTTCCTACCGTATCACAGAACTGGCGACTCTGCTGGGGACTAATAAGTGGGGTGTACCTTAGGAATAGTTCATAATCTTTTCAATTGCTTGACTTGTATGCTTTATCTTTGTGGGTTTGAATCGGAGTTACTATAGATCCTAACCCGTATCTGGGGGATACCCTTTAGGTAAGTAGCAATAAAATGTGAGGGAACTGTACAGCGTAGACCGATACGGTTGAAGCAGTAGCTACGTTGGTGTGGCACTTTAGTTTGTACTGATATCCCTTGTGGCTCAACGAGGAGAATATGGGTCTTCTAAGGGGTCATTAAGCACCAACTGACCTTAGAACCTCTAACTGACCAACTTGGCCATAGAACTGTAGCAGTATGCTACACTCATTGAGGCCAAACTCTCGCGATGATTCCGGCTGCAAGAAAAGGTTGCTAAACTGGAATTATGACCGATCGAGGGTGGTCAGTGATATTGAGATCCTCTAGAACCCGGTTACTATTTCTAGGACAGGTTTGAACCAACTGAACTGAAAGAGGGTAGTACCTAAACTCCTTGCCAGCCTGAAATCTAAGGGCTGTCTGTGTGACTTGTTTTCCCTTACCATGTTTGCTATTTATGAATACCTGTGATGTGTTTCTATCATGACATCATGCATCATGACATTGCATGCATATTGCATTGGACTAACCATTTCAAAGACCAATGGGATTCATCTTTGTTCTGTTTTGTAGGTCATGGCACCTATGCGTAGAAACACTATTCGGGTCAGCTTTGTCCAGATTCTCACTCAGCTTAGAGATTTGGTTGCAAAGGTTCCAGATACTTCCTC